CTCTCTATGTAGAATAACACCTTAATTTTTCCAAGTGTTGGAACTCTTGTAATCGTTTTAGACTATAGAGTACTGGAGAACAGAAATGTAGTGATGTGATGGTTAAACAAAATTTATAATTTGTGAACGAACTTCTCCAATTTCTCCACAAGTGCAAAAGATAATGTCCGTTTACCAAATCGCAGTACCCATCAGAGGGACGAGGCGACGATGGTGAATTCGTACATTCCTCTTCGTTTCACCATTTTCATCTCCTCCTCCCTCGCAGCCGCTTCTTCCTTCAAGCTCTCCACTTCCCGTCCTCCGTCGTCACTTCCGAAAGCCACCGCCAACGATCTCCTCTCAGTTTTAGGCCCACCCTCCGCCGCGTCGACCATTAACCCCGTCGTGTCTCGAGAAATCCGATCGTCCCTCAAATTCCTCGTCCCCTTCAAGCCGGATAAACCTGGATCCGAATTGGGAGGATGTTCACTTCGCACTCGACTCTGCTCAGGGAAAATCGACGCCCTTGAGAGGCGGAGCAGGTTTGAGGAGGATAACTCTCTCGTATGGTGGCCACCGGAGCCGATTCTCGAGCTTGCTCGTCTCGCTGTCGACTCCGGCGGTGATCCCGGCGCAATTCAGCGAACCCTCGATCCCAAAATGCTCCCGGTTCGTCTGCGATTGACGCTTTAAATTTGATAGAATTAGTCCGTGATTAATGGTTGAATCTGCTTAATTGTAGGTTCCTGATGTCGAAGGATCAAGAAAAGGCAAATTTCAACTCACTAGAACTCCATATGGCCGTCACTTCATAGCAGAGGTAAAAGCTTATTTTGAACATGATTCTTGTTTTATCTCAGAGATTATGGTATTGTGATCTGATTGGTGATGCCAATGAACAGGAAGTGAACTCATATTTTGAGTTCTTGTTTCGTCTAATTGAATCTAGGGGACCAAGTGTCGGGTTGGATGTTTCATTGTCTCGATATGATCTGTTCCATGGCCACCTATTCCTTGCATCAGAATCTGGACGCATTGGAATATTGCAAGTCCCCTTGTCTTCCCAAAACACACTCTGGTTCTTGGAATAGTCTTATGACTAAGCAAAGTAAACAAGAGTCATGTTCTGTTAGGAGAGGATTTACTGAATTTGTTTATGTTGCAATTGATTTGTTTAGAAAGTCTAAGCATATAATGATTGTTGGAAGAACTTCTTAGGTGGGTATAAGGTTGCAGTAGATTTGAGGGAGTGTTGTTGATCAGAGTATTTTGTGTTTGATGAAAATGGTAGGTTTCATGCTAAAGAATACCCAGCCTATGACAAGGAAGTATTTCCTTACAACATGGGATATTGCCAAAGAGGTACGGTTGCTCTCCTAGTCCATGTAACTGAACTTCTCTTGCACTCTTCTTGAAAATAGAAGAGGTCACAGAGATCTCTCTTAAATCTTCAGTAATATGATTTGTATCTCATTTCTCTTAGGATCTGACGTGACGTACGATGATTCAATGAACTTGAGGAATATTCTTTGGCTTGGACCATTACCCAGCAGCTCTACTTCAGACTGGCTTGCTCCAGGTATAATTTCTCCCAACTCTCTGTTTTCATTTCTAAGAGTAATAACTAAAAAACCAACCTTCTCAACTATCTAAAATGTCTTTGACTCGGACGTATTGAAGAGTACTGTTGTCCATTTCAAAGCTCTTGTCTTGTGGTGTTATGTTGATTTGAATCGCAAGAAGCAATTATATTGTAATCTTATTGTCTGATTGATCCGTAGGTGTACTTGTGGTGCTTGATGCGCACCCAGATGGAATCATATACCGAGATCTCATCCCTGACTATGTTAAGTTTGTAAGAACAATATACGAAGGTTTGAACAACTCTTAAGCCTTCTCTCATCTTGTATTTGCGTTCATTGTAGATGACACACTCGATATCTCTTGAAAGATTTATCTATTGAAGTTCTCTGTCTAATCCATTCTCCACCAGATGATTTGGGAACAATCGCAGTTGAGGTCAATTACTTGAATGTCGGAGCTGGGGAACCTGATTATCAGCTTTTCATGTGCTGAAACCAGTTACACGTTCACAGTTGCACAGTTTGGGTTAGAAATATTTAGTTACCGGAGATGGCCGATATTCAAGAACATAGGAGTTGGATTGCTATTATAGAAAGACAGGTCTGAAGAATCTCATGTGATTGATTGTGTCAAGTGAAACTCACATTACCGAGGGTTTAACCGCTTCATGTGATGGCCGATTCATACCACACGGTCCGATACGGACATGTACTCGCACAAATACAATTGTTTAGGTATGAAATAGCACAAATACAATTGTGTAG